GCTCTGATAACTTACTATGCATCAGTTCACGTAGATCCTTCCATGCTTCTTTGTATTTGTCACACCCATAATTTCTTATAGCACAGTAAAATTCCATTACATTCATGTACTACAATTTTTTTGCTGTTGTTTAGTCATTTTTCAGTCGTGTCTGACTCTTCATACCCCTCTTTGGTGTTTTCTTGGCAAAGATATTGGAAAGCTTTGCCATTTCCTTCTCCAGCTCATTTTATAGATGAGGAAACTGAGGCAAATGGGTTTAAGTGACTTGCCTGGGGTCACTCCCCTAGTAAGTGTCTGAGGCCAAGTTTGAACTCAGAGTCACCTTCACTAGTACCACCTAGCTGCTCTACAGTCATTCCCTAATTGATGGAAGGGCAGCTAGGTGACTGGAGTCAGGAAGACCTTAGTTCAAATCTGGCCTCAGCCACTTGCTAGGTGTATGACCCTGGGCAAGTTACTTTGTTGGTGATCTGTAAGGATGTAGAGGGACACAGGCTGTTCATGAGGTCTCACTGATGGGCGGAGGCCCCTCTCATGTGACTGATCTATGAGCAAAGGTCACCTGGTTTGGTGCTCCATTCTATGTATCTCTAACTTCCCTAGTTACTCATTAGTCATTAACAATGTATTTGTGATTGGTGGTAGGTAAGTGCACGGACTGTGCATGCACTGTCCTTGAGCACAGCATGGGCTATATGTCATTGTAACTTGAGAAAGAGTTCCTGTTATTTTACTATATAAGTAAGTGCTTTGCTAAAAATAAACGGAGTTGCCACCATCTTTTCTCCCGCCTCATCAATGCGTGCTTGGAGTGAAAGATCAAGCTGGTCTTGATTCTTCAGGTGATTGGGAAATCCTAGGTCCTAGTTAGGCTCTGTAGCCAAGTGAACTAGTTGTGCACAATATCACTTAACTGTTTACCTCAGTTTCCTCATCTATAAAATGAGCTGGAGAAGGAAATGTCAAACCACTCCAGTATCTCTGTCAGGAAAACCCCAAATGGGGTTATGAAGAACTGGACAAGATTGAATAAACAACTGATAGGCATCTGCTTATTACAAAAAAATGCTGCTCTGTGTGACCATGGGCAAGTCACTTAAACCTGATTGCCTCACCAAAAAGCAAAAAACCCTCCCAAAATCAAAAAATTGCTGCTATAAATATTCCAGAGTATATGGGGACTTTTTTCTTATTAGTGGCTCCTTGAGGCCAGTAAAGGAGTCTCTGGTTCAAAGGGTATGGCCATTTTAGTTACTTTATTCGCATAATTCCAAACTGCTTCCCAAAATGTATTGGTGTCCCTATCTTTCTTTTCCTATCTATCATCCAACACAGACTGTTGCCATCTTTGGACACTTTTGTCAATTTTCAGAGTGTAAGGTGAAATCTCAGGGTTGTTTTGATTTGCATTTCTATTATTATTAGTGGATTGGAACTTTTTTTCATGTTGTTATGAATTACTTTGTAACTACTTTGAAAATAATATCCTTTGACCATTTATCAGGGAATAACTATCATATCTGTATCTATATAAGACAGTTATTCATTGTTTATATAGCTTAGATACTAAACCTTATTACAGAAATTTGATACAAGATTTCCCCCCCTATTTGGCCATTTTTCTTCTTATCTTTGATGCATCAATGTTGTCTGTGTAGAAGCTTTTCACTGTCAAATGAAAGCTATTTATTTTATCTTTTTGTAATTGTCTCTACCTCATTTGGTTGAGAATATATCTTCTACCCAAAGCTATGAGAGGTATTTCAATTTTAAGGTCAAGTACCATTTAGAATGTATTGTGGAGTGTGGTATAAGATATTGGTCTAAGCTTAATTTCTGCCAGACTGCTTTCCAGTTTTTATCAAATAGGGAGCTTTTTCTTAGATAATTTGTATTTCCACACTATCAAACACTGGATTATTGGGTTCTTTCTGAATCTTCCTTGTCTAGTCAGTTCCAATGATCTATCTCTCTGTTCTTTAATCAACACCAGATGGTTTTGATGACTGCTGCTTTATAATAAGTTTATGGTCTGGAAATGCTATTTTCCTAGATATTTTAGATCTTTTCTTTTTCCCAATAGCATTTTAATCTGGTTTGTGTCTTACTGAGAAGTGTTGTGGGCACCTCTACTCTAGACTATAACCATTGCTCATCAAAATTTGCTGGTCCTGTGTCTCTTATTTTTAAGTTAAGCTCCCTGTTAATCAAAGTAACAAACTGATTATTAAGATGATGATTATAGATTTTGTCCTATTTAGGGATTTTTAACAAGAGACTCAGTACCTCAACCGAAATGAATCTAATTATGGGATTTCAGATATTGTAGAAGGTAGTTATGGGAAATATTTTTGGGCAGGTGTCACTGAAAATTACACTTGCTGTATTACTTATGGCAAGCCATTTTGCCTCTTTGGGCCTCAGTTTCCTCATCTGTAAAATGAGGGAGTTGGACCAGATATGGCAAAAAGGTATAGACTACTGCATTAGGTTCAGAAAGACTTGGATTCCGATCTCTTCTTTGATACTTAGTAGCAATGTGACCATAAGCAAGCCGTTCAGCCTCACTAAGCCTTAGTTTCTTCACCTGTAAAACAGGATAAATGTGTTTAGGGCTTATCTCATAGGGCTACAGGAAGCTTAAGTGGGAACACACTCTTAAACCTTAAGGTAGTATGTAAATCTCAATTATTATTAAGTGATCTCCAAGGATCCTTCTAGCTGTTATACTGGGATACTTTTTGTGAAACCATTATGGAAGTGGTTTCCTACCAACACCTAAATGTATGGTTAATTCTGCTATTTACTTCCTCTGTGACTTGTGACTTTCAAAACTCTGATATCAGCTGATTTTCCTGCCACGAGATACGAAGGTAAAAGTTGCTGCATAAGACTGAAGCAGCTCTCTCTTATTACTGTTGTTGTTGTTGTTTGTCCTTTGTTTGTTTTTTTTTTTGGCTAGGCAATAGGGTTAAGTGACTTGCCCAGGGTCACACAGCTAGTAAGTGTTATGTGTCTGAGGCCGGATTTGAACTCCTCCTGAATCCAGGGCCGGTGCTCTATCCACTGCGCCACCTAGCTGCCCCTTGTCCTTTGTTCTTGAAGAGGACCAAGATGTCAGGAAGGTGATGCTATGACTTGCAAGTGAATTGGACTTAAGTGAAGGAGACTCTGCAAAGTCACTAACCTCACTTTCTCCTCCAGAGCCATGTGGGTTCAGTGGCAAGATAAAGATCAGGATGACTGGAGATGGCCCTGACAGAGCTGTGTAAGACCTTGGCCTTTATAAGCTAAAGTCTCTCGGAGTTCTCACTTTGAGGCAATACCCACTCAGTGATTAAGGCTAGGTAAGAAATGAAGCAAAGAAGGGCCTCTTTTACTTACTAAAACAAAAACCAAAAACCAAAAAACCAACAATCTGAGAGGGGAAGACCTTCAGGGTTTCTGGCCAAAAGAAAAACAATTGCTATTTACATTAACTCTGAGCCAACAGAGCTCAAACAAACCAGGTAGGGCTTGGGCTGGGACCTATTGTTGGCCAATCAATAAGTGCCAGAGTGATTTGGGTTTTCTCACTTATGAAAGTGAGCTCTCTCTTATATAAACGTGAATATATGTACATACACACACACACACACATATATATATATATATATATACATACATACATACATACATATATAGGATTCAAAGTATACAGAGGTAGATTTTGGCTCAAATTAAGGAAGAATTTCCTAAAAATTGGAGCAGTGCATAGTCAATAGTAAATAAACATTTATTAAGCACCTATTTGTGCTAGGCACTGTGCTGGGGATACAAATAAAAAGTCAGTTCCTGACTTCAAGGAGCTTACAATCTAATAGGGAAAGACAACAACACAGCAAAGAAGTACGATGAAGTCCAAAAAGTCCCTAAGTAGTGCAGAAATGGGGAGAAGATTATGGGGGGGCCTTAAACAGAGGTTTTGGAGTTCATGGTTCTGCCCTCCAGTCAGATGGTCTAATCAGAGGGGCAGAGAGTACTGATTGAGTACCAAGATTATCCTCCTCTGATACTAGCTCGGTGACCCTACGCAAGGCACTTTACACCCCCTCTGCCTCGGTTTCCTCACCTGTAAAATGGAGATAATAAAACCTGCTTTCCAGGGTTGTTGTGAGGAAACTTGAAAGAGTTTGAAATGTTTCTCCTAAGAATCAGACTGTGAGAACTAGAGGAGGTTTTGGAGATCATCTGGTCTAATTCTCTTCTTTTGTAGAGGAGCCCAGAGGGGTAGTACATGTAAAGGGCATTGCTAACCCTACAACACTAGATTCTAGCTATTATATTCCATGACCACTTGAGTATCGTTTTACCTAAACTTTTGTATCTCCCCCAGATCTTAACATAATACTCTCTGTTTTCATTAAGTAGGCGCTTAATACGAGTTTGTTGAATGGACCGAATGTGTGATCTTCAGCAAGTCACTCATTAACGTCCTTATCTGTAAAATTCAATTCCATAAACATTTATTACGCGCCCACTACGTGGCTGGCACTGTGCTAAACACTGGATAATACAGTACCTTCTTCATGGTGGCGGTGGGACGAAGAAGGTGTTGGGAAGAAAAAGTACTTAGTCAAGTGGAAAATGCTCTTCCAGTGGGAGCTCTCCGAATCAGGCTCCTTTCGGCGTCGTGGCTGTTACCTCTCGGCTACCTTCCAGCTTCTGGATGCTCTGCCTCTACTTCACAGTCAGCTCTATTACACGCGGTGGTTTCTGGCCAACCTCATTTCCCACTCGGGGCAGGTTCAGGTTAGGTCTCTAGCCCGGAATTAACCACCTAGCCCAAAGGCACAAAACACTCACCGGAGTGGGGAAAGTGGCTCCACCCCAACCCGCGCAGCAGCGGCGGAGTGCAGTCTCCCCCCACCCGCCGGCCACGCACGCTTTCCGGCTCCTCGCCCCCGCCCCCGCTCCCGCCCCCGCCCCTGCCACGCAGCGCTCTCTAGGACCCAGCGCGTAGACACCCGGGGGCTTTTCCTTCCTCGCTCGAACGTGGGCGGAGTTTCGGGTTCTTGTGACGCCGCGGGAGCAGGGCTCGAGTCTTCCCTGCGCGATGTTGCTGGCTCATGGCACCAATAGCGGGGCAGCGGCCGAGGTAGGTGGGGAGGTGACGGGAGTGGGGGCGGTGCGGGCTGGGCGGGGCCGCGGGGCTGGTCTGGGCAGGGGCGCAGGAATGGGGGGTGCCGCGGCTGCGGTGAGAGCCGCTGGGTGAGAGGCAGAGAGAGAGGGACTGAGCCGCGGGCCGGGGCAGGGGCTGGGGCGTCCTGGCTCCGGAGCGGCGGCGGCGGCGGCCGCGGGGAGGGGGCTGTGAGGTGAGGAAGGCGGAACGTGCTGTGCGGGCTCCGGGCTGAGAGGCGGCGGCGGCCCTGGGACCCCGAGCCGTGGAAGGTGGCGGGCTGGAGGGGGAGGAGGAGAGTGGGGAGGGAGGAAGGAAGGAAGGATTGCAGCCGCTGTTGCCGGGTGCCTCCCTCCGGATGGGTGTCTGCAGTGTCCCCCTCAGCTGGCCCACGACGGGGCTTCCGTGCGCGCGCGCGTGTGTGTGTGTGTGTGTGTGTGTGTGTGTGTGTGTGTGTGTGTGTGTGCAGCCCCCTCCCTCAACAAAGTTTTTTCCCTACCCTCCTTTCCCTTGCTTTGTCTCTCACTCCCCCCGGCAGGAGGTTCTCGGGGAGAGCTACTAGCAACTGCTGGCGGGGCCCGGGAATAGTTGGGGGGTGGGCTTTTGTAGCGATAGTCCCCCTCCCGTGTTCCCTGGGACACCGCAGGAAGCCTCCTCGGAGCCTCCGCTTTGGTCGGAGGGCGTGTGTGGGGGCGGTTGGCCCACCTTCTCTCGGTTCCTCCCCTCCTCTGCCAGGCCGGGATCAGGTACCCTCCCGGGGTGATCGGGTGGCTCTCTTCTCACCACTAATGAAGTCAGAGGCGCTCTTGTTGGGTATTTAAACCCTCTCTCGCCCCGAGAGGCCGCCGGCTGCCCCCTTCCTCCATTCATTCATTCTCCAGGACAAGGTGTGGCTGCTGCTTGTGGCTTTGCTGGGGACAGGCAGGTGTATCACCCAACCTCCCCTCAGCTGAGTCGGGGAACCTAGGGTGGAGCACTTTGATTCGGGCCTGTTGAAAGTATGGGAAGAAGTGAGGGCAGAAGGTACATACCTGTGTGTGTATGTTGTGGAGAGATGCTAGGGACCTTTAACTTCTATTATGGAATGAGGATATGTGTGTGTGGATATGTGTCTGTGTGTGTTGGGAGGAGGGGCTGGAGCTGGGTCCATGTGGAACTCCTCTCAAGTTATTTATTTACTTTTCCCTCCTGTTTTCTCTGGTAGGGTTGCGTTGGTGGAGGATTATTACACCAGGATGACTCCAGCTGTTGGGAAATAACTGAGCAACGTCTGGAGTGCCCTGGCCTCAGCAATAAGGGAAGGGGGTCTTGAGGTCTTCTGGACAGTAACTTGGCTGCTTCAAGGCCACCCATGATCTTCAGGATGGAGGCAGATGGTCTGGAGTGGCTCTTCATCCTTTTACATCAAATAGTGTCATGGGGTGCCTCAGGGGCCATGGTGTTTGGAGGTGTTGTGCCATATATACCCCAGTACAGAGACATCAAAAGAACTCAGAATGCTGAGGGGTTTTCCACTTATGTGTGTCTAGTGTTATTAGTAGCCAATATTTTACGGATACTGTTCTGGTAAGTCCAGGTCTTTTTCATAGTTTGTGTAAAACTGGATTCTTCCATTTCATTGTACTGTTTGAATGGGAATATTACAAAAGGGTGTAGAAACTGGATCAACTTCCCTTTTATTTTATTTAAGCTCTCTTTTGGCTCCCTCCGCAATGTCTATGACTAGGGAGTTGTGCTTTAAAGCTATTTTGATCTGTAGTCAAGCCCTTCCTGTGTCTAAAATTATCTGAGCTCAAACTAGCCACTCATATGCTTTGGGTCCTTTTATTTCAGTTAGTTTCTGTTCAAGGGTGTAAACTTCAGTATTACTAGACAAAGGTATAGATAATGGGGTGAGTAAATTTGCTGCTGCTACAAAAAAGGAAAAGAATGCATCTCAAGTCCAAATAATGATGCCTTTTGGATTATCTGTTCTGGATTATTCCAAACTATGGAAGCTTCAATTAATGAAAGTAATTTGAAAGAGTTTGAAATGCTTCTCATAAGAATCATAGACTGTGAGAACTGAAGGGAGCTTTGGAGATCATCTGGTCTAATTGTCTTATTTTGTAGATGAGAAATAGATAGATTAGAGGGATATAAATCAGTAAGCCAAAGGTCATCTCTTTCATGAAACAAAAATTAAATGAAAAACAGCTATGTGGTTCAGTAGATAGAGTGCTGGACCTGAAGCCTCATCTTCCTGAGGTCAAACTGGCCTTGTACACTTAGTAGCTATCTGACACAGGGCAAGTCACTTAAGCTCTGTTTGCCTTGCTCTACTGGAAGAGGAAATGGCAAACCACTCCAGAATGTTTGCCAAGAACCCCCCCTGTACATTATTGGCATGATATCATCCATGGGGTCATGTAGAATTGGACATGACTAAACAACAACAACAACAGCAAAATCTACAAGAAAAAAAGATAATAAGTGGTGGGAATATTCTGAGGTTAAATTATGGAGCCTTTGTTCTGTGTGCTTTTCCTTAAAGGAAGAGATAGCTTGCTGTTCTCATCTTCTGAGTAAGTCTGTTTCAGGAGGGGTTTTAAAAGAATGCCAGCAGCCCCTGAAGAGTCACTTTGCTTGATTCATTAATTTGATGGAGAAGTTGAGCTTCTGGGTTTGCCTAATTGTTGCTTCCTTGAGTATATTTTTATGGAAGTCATGTGATTTTTTTGGGGGGCATGGCTGCCCTGATGATGATAACTCAGTATTAAGTGTTTGTTTTTGTACAACATAAGTAAAAACTACATTTTAAAGATTTCTTCTCTTCATTTCTTTTCTGCTCTATTTTGGCTGTGACCAGAGAACAGTCTAGTATTGACTTCCCCCTTCTGAAGTGGTTTCCAGTTAAGGTTAATATTGAAAAGGAAGCAGGGATCCAAAATGTAATTGTTTCTGATAATGCTATTTACTCTGAGTATGTTGATGGGGGTAGGGAGAAACAGAAGGGAGCGAGTGAAAGACCAACCAACAGTGAATATCCCCAAATTTAAGTTGTAAGCTTTATTCACTTGAACGATAAATCTTTGTGACTAGTAAGTACATTTTAAATTTTAACAAGGAAAGCACTTTTGCAAACCCTAAACTGAGTTCTAACATTATAACTGTTGTCTAAAACAGAATTACTTCATGAAAACTGACCAACATGTCAGTTTTAACTAGATTGTGGGTGTTTTAAAAAAAAAACACCAACTTTTGAAATAGCCAAAAATAACTCAAAACCCTTTTCCATTTTAAAAATGTATATTTAGGTAAGATGCAGCATTTTATAGTGGAAAGAGGATATGGAATCATAGGACCTGGGTTCAAATTTCTGTTTTGCTACTTAATACCTGTGAGACCTTGGGTAAAGTGAGTTTTCTCCCTGGCTATGTAGTAGTTCCTCATTGAGAGTAGGGCTAAGTGATCTTTAAGGATCCTTTCAGCACTGGTCTGTAAAGTAAATTCATCTGGATAATCTGCCTTTAATGTAATATTTTCAAGAGCCATTCCAAGAATGACTCATTTCATGTTCACTATGGTAGTAAAGTCCTTAAGATCCAGATAGTCAGCTTTGTCTAAAAATATTGGTTATATGCAGGAATCTTCAAAATGATCAACATTTCTGTTTTTTTAATATCTTCAGTTCCGATTCTTATTGTGTGGCATTTTTCTAAATTTACAAGATTACCTTCATTGGCTCCCTTAGCCTTAATTTTTTCTAAGTCACAAAGTAGCTGGAGAGATGGACTTATCTGTCATCATTTTGAGAGGAATAAAGGGGAATACACTGGGGATTCTCAGTTATTGGTAGGTGAATTCCCTGTATGCAACTTTGAGCAGGATTAGAATATTCCAGTAGGCAACTGGGCATTTTCCCAGTTGTTTTTGGAATGACTTTGGGATTTTGGGAGATCAGAGTTAGGGAGTAGACACAATTGACTGACTGCTTTAGGGGAGACTGCGTAGTGGTTTGGCATCATGGAATCTTGCCCAGGCTTGTTTCTGGAAATAATTTAGCTTTGACTGTTTTGTATCTAGTAGGCACTCAATAAAGGTTTCTGTTATTAAAAGGACACCTGAAAGCTTCTAAAGTGGGAGTTCACTTTAAAATTTATTTTTAATCTAAATATATTTATTTTACGCCTGCCATGCTAGAGGTTGAGCCAACAAAAATTAGAAGAAAAACACAATCACTCTCAGAGTTTCAATTGTAATATATTGGTGGAACTCTTCTGAAAGCTATAAAGTAACCATGAAAGTGGGATCTCCAAATGTTTTTGTAACTAATTCTGGTAACTGATGTGTATAAACCTGTGCCTTTTAAAAAATCCTTTGGTGACATTCATTTTTATTTGTCCCATGAATTTCAAGAACTGCTCATAGCACAAAATCCAGGTATTCTGTTTTACCTACATATAGCCCATTGCAAAGTTCTAAAAGGTGTAATACTAAAACCAGAAGGACAACTAAGTAAAGCCTTATGTGCTTGAGGTGGCTAAGAAAAAGTGAAAAAGGGTAGAGATGGAGTAGGGTGTGTAAAGGCTGGAAGTGGAGATAGGAAGAGATAGAGCCACTAGCAGATAGCAAAGGCTGTCTGCCACAGTCTAAATTTAACATAAACCGTTAAAGCCTTCTTAAATGCAAGGATTAAGGAGCATTATCCTGGGATAGTAACATCCTGCTGCTTAGGACTGGGTTCTAATATTAAAGAGGGGAGTGGGTCCATAAGTCCTCTGAGACTAGATTTGTAGCATCATTTTGTCAACTCAGTAGGTGCATCTCTTAGAAGGCTTTTGGGCCTACTGAGTGTGTTGTTATGCTACAATTCATTACATATCAGTAGAGAAATATTCATTTTATTTGGATCCATTCTTGCCATGCAGGTTTAAATTATAGATCCACTGAATATCAGAACTTTGTGCCGAGTACTTCCATATCTCTTTCAGAAGCTCATGCCATCAGGTTTTTAGTCTCCCAGTCAGGGGGAAGGAAAGGAAACAACCATTTATTAAAGGCCTACTATGTGCCAGGCACGGTGCTTCAAACTCTTTACAAGTTCTGTATCCTTTGTTACTCACAGCCCTGGGAGGCAGGTGCTATTATCTGTGTTTTAGAGAAGAGGAAACTGAAGCAGATGGAATTGATTTGTCAGAGGTTACATAGCTAGTAAATGTCAGCTGAGGTTAACAGTAGAATCTCTATAATCTTCCTAATTTTGGGAAAAAAGCCAATCCCTGCTTTGTAGGCTCACCCTATACATTCCTCGTTTTTTACTTTTTTGTTTTATTTTGTTGGTGTACAATCAGTGTCAAGATGGACCTGAAGTCTGCTGGAATTGGTGTCATGAGTAAGATTGTATTGGAGTTCTAAACTAAGAAGCTGTTCTTGGATAGTAAATAGAAAATTGTAATGAATCATGATCTGCTTTTCAGCATGCTTCACTGTGATACTGAAGGTTTGGGGCATTTTCCTTTACATTATTGTGGTCATTACGTATATTATTCTACTGGTTTTGCTTGCTTCACTCTCTACTGGTTCATACAGGTATTCTCAACATTCTCTGAATTCTTCATCTTCATAATTTATGATGTTTCATATGATGTTTTAATAATACTTCATTCCATTTGTATACCATTGAGTGTTCACCATTCCCAAAGATATACCTCCATCTTCCTTCCAGTTCTTTGCTGTTATGAAGAGTGCCACTATAAATTGTGTATATGTCTGTCTGGAATGGGAATAAGTAAAAAAACAAAAACCTCATGTTGAGAACTCCTCTTTGAGCCTCTTCACAAGCTAAAAACAGGAGTGCTCTTTTGTTCAGAATGGCTTACAATCATATATATTCAAGTTAGCTAGAAATGAGCTTTTCTAGTTGAGAAGAGGGAGTAGTTGCTGGATGCTGTCTGTCAATCTCTTTTATAGAATAGTCTAAATATCATTTATATTGATCATGTTCTTTCCCTGATCAAGAACTTCATATTGTTCAACCTTGACTAAAGTCTTTTCTAGCTTAAGCATCCTCAGTCTTAATTAAATTTTTGTCATTCTGCCTCAGCCCCCTCATTTTACGTTTGAAGAAACTGACGATGCGAGAGATCATGTGATTTCTTCAAGGTTTCACAACTAGTGAGCAGTAGAACGGGCACTAAACTCTGAGTCCTACCATTCCAGTGTTTCCAGTCCCCTCGAGTAACACATTCATCTTCTACTTCTGTTAATTAACAATCTAGTCTTAGGGTCCAGCAGACCGTCTCCTTACATGATTACTATTTTCTGAAATTAGAGAATCATAGAGACAGAAGTATTTTATTTAATAGTATTTTGTTAAGTGTTTTTGCTTGTTTTTGCAAAGAAGTCAAATGATTTACCCAAAGCTATGTAAGCCAGTTTGTGGCAGGGTTGGGACCAGAAACCCTGGAAACAGGTTTTCTCACTTTTCCTCACTTTTCATTTATAACAGAGTTCTTAAAATTTTTTTTTTTTGTATTTTGGATCTTGGAAGTCTGCTGAAATCTGTGGACTCCCTTCTTAGAGTA